TGGGGGGAAGGTCGGAAATGTAAGGGATTTGTTTAACCCTGTTTAAGACTCCAAGGTCAACAGCAACTCCTTAAGATGGATGACGCTTCAATTGTGTATTTTTAGAGCTACATCCCAAAAGTTGTCACAATTATCGGTCACTACTTGCCGGCAGAGCAGCTGAAGTCTGCGGAAAAACTTCTTTCCCTTGCTTGTCAGAGGCCAGGCGCCCACATGGGGTAATGCGGAAGTTGCTGATATTTTGTGTGTTTTGTCCGTATCTGTTCTTCAGGGTCTCTGAGTGAAACCTTTAATCTTCACTGATACTGTAAGCAAAGAGAGAGGCCTTTAATTTTCTAGTGCTTTACAGTTATTTGATGAAGTGAGTTAAACACACAAACACAGTGGTTGCAGTTGCTCCTTCAAAGACCTAGGTAGGACAGTAAGTGCAACATGCTCAGTGGATCTGCAACACTGCCAGTGACTTCAGAGCTGACAGGGCAGGTTGCAGCTAAGCAAAGTCCATATGGACACCCAGAGTCTTGCAGGAATCTAAGTGAAGGAAGTTCTTCAATATAAATTGTAGACAGTAGTAAAATTCATGTTGCTCTATCCCAATTCTCATCATCTTTAATAGAAGGAAAACATCGTTTGTGCTGAGACAAATCATCTTTTGTTAGACAATACAGTTAAATGTTCGATATTTCATAGAAAATAGGATTAGAAACAGTTTAAGTGATTGCATATGGAGGTTTAGATGCCTCTTCACTGTGCACGTATATGTGGTGACACAAAGTCACCACAGCTCCTTTTTTTTTTCCTCTTCTTTTTCCTCCTTTCTGTGTAAGCAGCAGCCAGCAGAGGGTGTGCAGGGTAACGGTAACTCTTCTGTGATTCAAGTAAATGTTTTCAGAACATCAGCAGGGTTTATCTCCTGTTCTCTCTCTCCCTCTACCATTGTAGAAACTATTTTCTCTTTCCTCGACTATATTTGACGGGCTACCTGGCAGCTGGTGTAAGAACAGGCACTTCTCATTTGTGTACATGTGATTAAAATCATATGTGGTGGGGTTGATTTGTTTGTTTTTATCTGCTTTGTTTTTTAACCAGTGTTGACTGTGTTGTCTGTATAGAACTCAGAATAAATCAAAATATTTTTTCTTTTGTTTTTCTCTTCCCCTTGGGAGTCAGTGCTCTGCAGCAGTTTTACTGAAGTTGCTGTATGCCCACAGGGAGGTCTGCATCATTCTTGGTTATTATGCATGAGGAAGAAAAACAGTTGAAAATTTTAGATCTACTGAGTTTGAAAAGTTGTGAAATATCCTATTGTTTCAAATGTGCATAATTTTTTGGAAGTATATAATTGAAAAACTAATCATGAAACCTCAAGAGGGCATGATTAGTCACTTGATAGAATAGAAAAGCATTAAGCATTCAGTTGATGAATGAGTCTGGTTGACAGTAGTCGCCCCCATCCCCCTGGATTTGAAATATTAAGAAATATTAATATGTATGTATTTTAAAAATAACCACTGGTAATTCATAGTTATACCTTCTGTGTTACCATTATCTTGAAAATTTTTTTCCTTTGTGTCCATGATTGTCACTTGTATCTGTTTTGTGTAAGGTGTTTTGAGTTTTGGTAGTGTTTGATGGTGATAAAATAGATCAGCTGTGCTTCATAGCAGAGTGTTGGGGATTAATGGTCAAATGTCTAGATAAGCTTCTAGGTGCCAAGCAAAAGTGACTGTATGAAGGTAATTGTTTCCAGAATACTTTTCTATCCAGGAATGTAACATAAGCTGCACATACTGTTCCTAATATAGGCTATTTTTTTCTTTATAATGGAGACTCTACAAGTTGGCTTAGTGATTGGAGATGGAAGAAGTTGTTATATTTGTAATTGAAGATCAGTTAAATGTCAAAATATTTTCATCTAGTAAGTTCATTAAATTAGCTTCTTGGACAGAAATAAAAGGTTATTTCCGTTCTTTTTGATGTGTTTTTTTCCACTGACATCTCCCTCAGAACTGATACTTTTAAAGGATTTTACTCATCGGTTAAGTGGTTTACATATGTTTTGGGGTGTAATCCACCATTAAAAAACATTAAAACAGTTCCTTTCTCCTGTATCTTTATTTTTGTCTCTGTGGGTGTGACTGCTCAAGGTTTTAATGGCAACATCAATTAGAAATGTGTTATTTCAGGTCTAGCTTGCATTTGATGTGTTTTCATTCTTCTGCATGTCCACTTTCAGAAAGTATTGCTGAAAGTGCTGTGTTAGCTTGTTTGAAGAGAGGAGGAGTTTTAAGGCTGTTTCTTAAAATTTCTCAACTAAATTGATCTATACTTGTAACAATGACAAAATTATAAAGGATAAAAGGCAGTGCTCCACAGGGAAAAAAAGTCTTCCATATTGCTTTTCAGCATGGTTATCAATTGCATTGCTTCTTTAAAGTTTTTCTTTTTCTGAAAAATAGCTATACTGCCACAAAATTTAGCCATTTTTAATGTAATTCAGTTTAGTGTTAATTTCTTTAAAGATGAAGGTTGAATTGCTTTGATTAATAATCAAACTTACAGTATTCCTGACTGTGCCTCTGAACAAGGAAATAACTCCTAATTCTTTCAGACATTTCTTGCTGTCATGACTTCAGGGTATGATCATGTTACCTGACAAAGAAAAAGGGTGTTTGCGTGTTTCATTAACAAAAATCACTTAGAGAAATAACTGAGCAAGGACTTGCTTCTGAAAATGTTATTTAGGTTTCCAAGTAATTTAGATGCTTTTTGAACTTTTAGTAGCCAGGTTGTCCACTTATCTCCTGATCTGTGGATCACTTTTAATTCTCAGGGATATACATGCATGTCTCATTCACATTTAACACTGGATGCAACAGTAAATTTAACTTCCACACCTACCTCACTCTCTTTGCGTTTTCAGAATTTATCAGCTAAAATTGTTCATTTACCACTCAAAGGATTACATTTTCATAGAAAGAGTTTCATATCTGGGTTTTACTGATGCAAGATCATCTTAGTCATCTGACTATAATTGCCATCTGTGCATCTTTTCATGTTCTTATTGAGATATTTAGAAAGCCAAGAAAAATTATGTGACTAGCCTAGCAGCTGAATCATATTTTATGGTGAATATCAATGCTGGCACAGGAAATGCAAGATACTAACTCAGGTCTTTTCGAATGATTGAAGGAGGAAGAGGATTTGTAAACAGTTTGCGATGTAATAATGGAATCTTTATCCAGGCATTTCTGTAATTTAATAATAATAATTTTAGATGAGATTGTGGTTTGGGGTTTTGGAGGATTTTCTATTTGTTTTTGTTTTCAAGACCATTCCCTTTATGTAAATTACACATTTTGAAGAAATTGTCATAATGTCTTAATTTTCATGTCTCATAATAATTATTATATCCCATATATGTTAAGTTATGCATTATGTTATGAAAAATGCATACATATTTTCAAATACAAAGCATAAACAATTTGTAGTAATTGAAGTATAAACTGGAATTGTTTTAGTTGCTGAGCCACATTTAAGAAAAAAAAGCCATAATCAACTTGCTAACATTAGAAGTTCTGATTTTTTTAATAAGACAACATGATATATTTTCACTGTATAGCAGTGCCCCCATATCCTGGTAACATTGCAGTCTTATTGGCCAAAATTAACAATGATTTTATTTGGCATTGACAACCATAAGGTAAACTTCATTTTATTTAATCTTTCACAAAGAAAAAGAAATTTTAATCTTTTTTCCTTTTTTTTTCTGTAGGCTTAAGTGAATAAACAATGCCCTTTCTAAAGCATGACTCATTCAAAAGTACACCTTAAATGAGGAATTGTTCATTTAATTACTGATTCCTTTGCCAGTTTTTGTAGTGACATGTACAAATTAATAATTTTTGATTCACAGTACAAGACTTGTGATCAAATAGTACTATTTTCCTCAAGATAAAAATCTTCTTTTTGTAACCAATTTGCACAGAATGTTTTTTCGTAGTGTCTTGTACCTGTTCTTTTGTAACTACATTTTTTTTTCCAGTGCATTAAATTTGTATGTGTGGTTTTTACAGAAACAGCACTCCAAAAAAAAAAAAAGAGGCAGAAAAAAGTAGGACTAACAATAATTTTTAAAGTCATACAGAGCATTTGAAGGAAAAAAGAACAGAGACACATCAGGGTAAAAGTAGTATTAGGAGGTGTATTTCATTTTACTCATCTCATAGAAAGCCTGCGTTAATGAGAATATGAAAAAAAAAGCAAACAAAGAAAATAAAAACCCAAGAAAAAATGCTGGTATGAGCTACACACACATTTGTTATCTTTCATTACTTGGAATTTCTTCATATTGTATGACATAGATGTATAAGACAGAATTATACATGTAATACAAAAATCTCAATCACTTTATAATTTGCATTGGTAGAAATTTAACATTTAGGACCATTCATTTCAAAGAGGGCATTACATAGGGATCCGAAATTTTGGAAGGCTTTCTGGTGCATAATGTTTACACTCTAAAAATAAAAATCTTTCGTTTCCTATTTAAAAGCATAAACCAGATTCACAGATCTAGAATGAAATCTTTTGAAGATGATGAGTGGGTGAAAAAGTCAATCTTGGTGACAGAATGTACCCACTAGAACAAATGGTTTCTTTACTGATCATTTCTTGCTTGTCTTTGTCAAGGTGCAATATCAGACTTGGGTTATTGTTTTACCGTATATTGTTTTTCTTTCCCCTACCTGATAGGACTTTGAAATGGTACCAAATAATTTGTCCTTCAATTGGTTTCATTCCAGCCTACATTGTGATTATTTGGGTTTTCAGCACACTGAAGGGATGTTGCTATTCTGAAAAGCATTTAAATTGAACTGTAGTAGATTGTTATTACTAAAGCCGATACTGGTGCTTGATTATTTGACCCGTTTCTCATGTAAGCGACATAAACAATTAAGTTACAGCAAAATTGTAATTTGAGTTAAATGTGTTTTCAGGTCTCTGAACAAAATGAATTTCATTACAAGGCTTTCTGCTTTATGTCTGAGGAAAAGCAAGATGCAACACAGGCACCAAAGTAATAGACGACCAGCTGTTCCACTTGGATCACGGATTTTAACTGATCCTTCTAAGGTCTTTGAGCATAACATGTGGTGAGATGTTTCTTCAAGGCTGATTTTCTTATAATTTTGTATACTGTTTACTATGATGAATAATGATGTGTGTGTGTGTGTATAAAACAAGGTAGTGCCAGTAAAGATGTAAAGGGAGCACTAGAGAAAACTTGATATTGTCACAAGTAATCTGACCGTTACGAGTTCTTAGTGACTTCCGTAAAAAGCTGCTGAGTAAGTAGGTAGTCAAGGAATGAAATGCAAAAAATTGTTGTAGATCAGTAATTAATTAAGAGACAGAAAGTGTAGCAATAAGATAGTCCATATTATTTATAATGGCAGAAGGTTACTTGTTAGGTACGATGATGTTGCATCCTGGATTAGCGACCTAGTCTAAAACTGACACCACTTTGAAAGGAACACGTGAATTACTTGTATTCTTCTAAAGGTATACTGAAGACGTTACAGATCATTCAGCAGAGATTTCCATACAGTGTGCAATTATCAAAAAAAGTAAATTGAATCTTAACATAAATAGGTGATATAACAGCAGAGAAGACATCAATGTGTAGATGTTAACAAGAAGAATTGTCCTGATTTGCAACAGTGCATCCCCATCTCTAAAAGAGGGAGAATGCTGGTCAACACAGTGGGAAAAATTAGACTGAGAAGGCTAAGATTTTTTACTGTGGAATGGAGATGAATACAAAACAGCAAGTGATACAGGAAGTGTTAGGAGGATAGAAGAATATCTAAATCTGTTTAGAAAGTAGAAGAATATCTACCTAACATATTGGGGAAACCAGGAATTTTTCTTCCTATAGTTTGTAACTTTAAAACCAAGGAATATTTGATGAAAAGTAGTGAATTTAGAAGCTATAGAAGAAATTACTTTCTACATAATTTTTAAATGTATTTTTGAATTGTGTCACTATTTTTGATAGCAAGGATTTAGCAAAATTCGAAAAAGAGACTGGAAGTGGCTAATAATAACCAATGGGTAACATAACATAGAAGTAACAGAAGACAAGTTTCAGGCCTTAAGCTTACTTCATAGAACTAATCTACAGTTCTTATAGTTTCCTCAGAGTTGTCCTCTGCTGGCAGCTGTCAGAAAAGTTACTTGACAAGGTTGTGTTCTGAAATGAAGTTTCAACTTGCTGTTTGTTTGGTTTTTTTAATTACTATTCTTTTTAGTAGTCCATTTTATTTGTTAATTGCTCCACTTTGCTTTTTAATCTAAATTATTTCAAAAGATTCTCTAATCAAATTCTGATTAATAAAAAGGTCTTAAGAATATGACACAGGAAATCAAGAATATGACACAGGAAATCATCCTCTGGTTAATAAACTAGGATCTTTGTTACTCTTTTTAGTCTCTAAATTTGGACTTAACTGATTAGTTAACTAGATCTGCCACCTGTTAGTGTTTTCTAAACTAGGTGTCCCCAAGCCATGGTCCCCAACACTTACCACCTTAAGGCCAAATTTGGAGTTAACTGTACTTCCATACATTCCTTGGTCAAGAAAGCTGAAAGCTGGCTGATTATTGTGTTAAGAGTGTAAACTTAATCTGTGTTTCATAAATCTATAAGCAGTGTAGTTCTTTAACATATTCCAGGCTGAGTGCTTTCTGCTAGGTGTTAAAATCCTTTATTTGTGTAAATGCTGATTTAAATGTAGACTATATAATCAAGGTAGGAAAAGATTTTAAAATCTTTTTTAAAAGATCTTTTAGTAAAAGGACATCCTTTTTCTGTAACATTGTGTCTCAATGAAATTCAGTTTTGGGGTTGTTTTTCTGGTTGTTTGGGTTTGTTTTGTTTGTGTTTTTTTTTTAATTTCTCTCCAAAAAACTGATCGTGTGTAGCTTCAGTTTTTCCTGCTAGCCTTTGGTGACAGTCTAATAGAGTTATCAAACTATGATGCAGGTGGTTGGGATGGATTGTGAAAATGAGAGTGAAAGAAACAATGTTGTTCAAAAAATGGATCTGCAGATGAATCCGTGTAGCTCAGAAGGGAAAGCAGGTGAAACTGAGTTGAAGCAGAGGTGCATGGAATTGTGATGGTCTTGATAAATCAAGAACCTGGCTATGAAGAGGTGTAGGTCCTTGGATCTGAAGCTCACTGAATTGGCACAGTTCTCTCTAGGGAGATAAGGGGGATTAGGATGAGGGGTGGTAGTGCTGAATAGATTATGCAGGGTGAGCATAAGATATTCATCTTCTCTAGCATTGATGTAGGATATCCTTTTGTTTTCCACTCATCATCTTTGGTACTTCATGCTTTGTCATTCTTTTTGTCTGTGTGTGAATTGGCAGAGAGCCAAGAGCTGCTACCATTGCTGCTAGACATACTAAGCAAATTAAATTTGAGAACTAATGCTTTAGATGTTTGCTGTGGTGCTTTTCTGTCATTTCAAGAGAGAACTAATGAGTAAGGTTAAACATTGGAGCAAAAAAATGTCTGCTTCTATTCAGGTTAGTAATTGTCATAGTTTTCACGCTATCACAGAGATAATTAAACCCTATGTTAGCAAACAAGTTAGTGGAAAAGGACTAAGTGGAATAAGCTGAACTGAAAGCAGCATTGTTTGATCTTGTATCAGGCCTACTCATGTTAACAGCTCCTGGTGTGGTTAAAATGGATAGCTTGCTTTGCTGCTGTCAGTGTTCACCTTAAAACACTTCTGTATTTAAACACTTCTGTGCTTAGGATTCTCCTGTGTCCTGTATTTCTGCCAGCTTGTATTGCCTCATTTGAAGCATCCAAACTGTGTAAATAGTTTGCATAAGAACTATGCTATGTCTCCTCCTTTGTAGATTTTGATCAGGAAATGCTGCTGCAGTCATGTTGTTTGGGATCTACCACACAGAAATTTCTAGGAAAGAGCCAAAAGATCCCTCTTCAGCTTTATGAATTTCCAAGGAAGGAAAAAGGGAAAAAAAGGTTGTTTAAGATGGAGGGCTTCAGGCATCCTTAAGGGCTCTGACAGACACACAATGATAAATTAAAATTGATCAGCTGAAGATTATACCACAGCAAGTCATCTGTCAGAAGGGCTGACTGTGTATTCTTGCCATCGAAATGGTCCTTGGTAAAGGACTTGGGAAGCAAGTCTTTCCAAGAGGATGACTGCCTAGTAATGCTTTTGGTCATTCAGTTTATTCTACTGCAGCATGTCTGTTAGAGCCGTGACACTGCACAGGAACATTTGGTATATGAACAAATACAGGAAGGGGAGAGGCAACCTGCTGGGGACAATAATGAGAAATATTTCAGTAGAGATGCGGAAATCAAGTCTGAGGCAAGCAGACGAATACATACCAATTAGTCTCCCACAATTAACAAAAGAGGAACAGCGAAGGTCTAAGAATTAAATTACCTATATATCACCAGGTACAGAACAGGAAGATGCTCATTAGCTTTTAGAGACAATCAGCTCTTCCCAAGTTGGCACCTTGTCTCTTTTCCCATAGTAACCAATGGAATTTTAGTCTTGGGCTTTCAGTTAGTTGATTTCAGTAGGATTAGGATCTAATAGATTACTTGAATTATATTATTTAATTTAATCTGTTCAGACTGGATGATTTGGAGGGACAACTGATTGGCTTTTAAAAACGGCCAGCAGCACATTTTTGGCACTTCCCATTGCAGCCTGATCCAAACACAGAATCTGCAGGGAATGCAGTTTAGTCATCAGTGTCAGATCTGGGCTTCGTTCTGTGACCGTTTAATTGACTAACATAACATTTAGTTAACCACTTAATGCAAATAGAGAGGACATAAACTTTGGAACCATTGTAGCACTGCTTGTCTTTTCTTATGAATGTCTCATTCTTTTTTTTAAATGTTACTTGTCTCTATTCCCCAAATAAGTAAAATCCTGTTCATCAATTCACTGGTTCCAGTTGCATAGGTGGATTATGCTCCCTGTTTCAGGAACAGCTGATTTCTTTGCTAAATGACCTCAGTTCTTCATCATAAACACTAGTAATGTGAGTTTGTTGCATTAGGTGTTTGTTGGTAGGTCTGTTATATTCAGCTAAACACGGTTCTAATGGGACACTCAAAATACGTTCCTATAAACACACTCAATCTACAAGATATATATTAATCCTGTTATTAAGGAAACTACTTATTTCATACCACTTCAGTCTCTTACTTACTTGCATACTACTTCAGTCTCTTTGCAGTTGGGAGATGTTTCTGAATCGCTTGAGTTTTACCTAACTGGTGATTAATTTTTATCTATCATACACTGAAACTTGGGTTTTACCTGTCAGTCTCCTTGTGGTCGTTTGATTGCACTCAAAAAAAAAAAAAAGGATTTGAGACAGTATAGCTAATTTGATACTGTTTTTTCTGGAAAAAAAATATGAAAATCCTGGAAAATCCTATGAAAAAGCTTGTTCTTCAACTGCCTTTTTCAGGGACCACATGCAATGGTCACAAGAAGAAGAGGAGAGTGCCAAGAAAAAAGCAGCAGAGAACTCACTTGTGAAAGTTCAATGGGAAGACCAAGGTAAACAATTCCTAATGGCATAAAAATTCTTATTTTAATGCTGTTTATGAAATCATTTAAAATGGCTTTAGAATCCAGGAACACCCTTTTTATTTCTACATTCTCTTGTCTGAATTTTTTTGTTTGTTTGGGGGTTTTTTCCATTTATTACCTCAAAAGATCTCAAAGTGTGTTTTTCTAGCAATTCAGTTACTTATTTGAACAATTTTGCAATTGGGGGAGCAATAGGCTCTGTGTAAAACAAGTACATCAGTATGGTACGGTTGTCCTTTTGCAGTTCTTCAGAGTAAACTACTACACGGGACTTTTACAGAATGAGAGGAATGAGTTTGCATCCAGCTATGGTTCTGGGGATGAAAGTTCCCATGTACAATATTCAAATGCTTTTTAATGATTAGTAGACTATTTAGAGAGCTTGTGTTTGTGCATTGCACTGTGTTTCAGTTGAGTGCCATGAAATTTGCACTGGTCCCAGCTGGTCCCACCTTGCTGTCTTTGCCAGGCTGAGCTGGGAGTGCTTCAGGAAGCAGTGTGTTCACTTTGTGTGGAAGGTGTTCCAATACAATGCAGAGTTTGCAGTGTAAATGATTAACGAATTTTCTGCCTGTCTTCAGAAGGGAAATTTAATGTATTCTGAGTTTCTGAAGAATGATAGCTCTAGGTTCAAACTGGCAAACTAAACCATAGACTAAACTCTAGGGTAGTTATGTATGCTAAAGCTGCAGTATCAACTTGATAGTGTCATAGAAGACTGGATTCTTAATTTGTTATAGTGTTAGAAAGATATTCTGAAAAAAATAACTTGGATATCTTGGGCCTCAGTTTACTTAGCATGTCTTGAGTCTGTCAAATTAGATAGTGTCATTATGATCCTGTGCTGAGTTTCACTGATATAACAAACTCCAACATGTGCCTTAATTTCAATTACCTGAGAATGTGCCTTGCATTTGTGTCCTTCATCACTTTGAATGCTCTGGGATTGTCAGCCTGCCTTTTTCTGTTACCCCTCACATTCTTTATCTAAGTACAATGTTTGTTTTTCAAAAATTACATCTAATATTTTCCTTTGGTTTGTATAAAAAGCTGAAAAAGAGCTTATAATTGAAAAGTAAGCTGTGTGACCATGTAGCTCGTGGAACCTTTAATTCTTCATCTACAATCAGTTAGAACTTCGTTTGTGCTGGTGAGAAATGGAATAATCAGGCATTTGTCTATTGCCAAGAAATACAAGAATCCAAGGACGTTTCCTATGAATGCCCCTCTGTTTAGAACTTGAATAGGTAAGCACAGCTGATAGTGTTCCTTCAGAAAGCTTCAGCTTCATTCTGCAAGTGGAAGTACATTTTGGCCTATTTGTGTAAACAATGAACTAGACTGAAGCTAACGAGCAGGTTATTTTGGGGCCTTGAAGACTACAGTAAGGGGAAAAAGACAAGACAGATTTCAACAGTACTATTATATCACTAAAATAGAATAGTTCTGGTGGGCCTTTTTAAGGCAAGAGATGTTAAATTGAATGAACTCATGATACTACTTTTAGGAATTTGATTTACTTATTAGCATGTCTAGTTTCTTCTCAGGCATGCTTGCTAGTGTTGGAAGATTCTGTTAAGGAGAAACATCAATTGACAAAGTAAGGGATTTTTTACTTGGAAGTTTATATGTTTTTTAGTTTTGTTATTTTTACGTGCTTTGGAAAATTTAGTAGGTAGGTAGGTTACTTAAATATACAAAATGAAACAAAAATTTGATAATAATACTGCATGTGTAGCTATTACACAGTGGTGCAGGAGTGACCAGTGAAACAATGCAAAATGAAGTGTTCTTTCACTTGAACCTATGTAATTCCATACCAATATAGTTTGAAAGGCTGACTTTTGGTATCTCTTTCCTTCATTTCTGAAATCTGGAAAACTTGATGTGAATTTAAGTAAAAAGGTTCTGAGCAGACTTGTAGAAAAGTAATGACTGTAACAAGGGGTGATAATAATTTAGAAACCTTTTGACTAGAAGGGGTTTTTGTTTTTATACTGAAGCTGAGCAATCTATGAATGTGCAACTTATGCTCCTGAAATCTGATATATACGACCTCAATCAACTCTGAACTTACATTATAAAACAAGTCTGTGCAATTACTCTGCATGGCCAGGTCTGGCCCTTTAATAATACAATTGGATGTATTAAATGTTAATTTTAAAACATTATGCAGATTTCTAGGACAAGGCATACTGCCACCTCCTTCCCACTTCCCACTGCCTGTCTGTGCCTCTAATGATAATTCTCAGGAAATAATATGTTAAGATTTAAATGAGAGTAGTAGGAGAAATGCACCATATATTTACTCTGTGCATTTTTTATTGAAAAAATTAATGGGTCAGTGTGAGTGGGGACAAAATTAAAAAGGCAACACATTATATGATCTACACTTAGCAAGAGATGTCAGGGCTAACAAGATACTTTTGTAAATGCTTTGGGAATGAGGGGGAAAAAAGATTTAGTTTGGTACTTTGGTGGAATAAGGAAGGGAAAACTATCAACAAAAGAGACATTGAAAAAACTGTAATTCTTATCTTTTTATCAGCCTGCCTTTGAAAGGGTTAGCTGCAGTCCAGTGGCTAGCACAATTAGTGCTGGTGAGAAGGAGGAAAGATTGTTCTGGAACTGAGAAAGAACAGGTTACAAAGTACATCCATAGCGTACATGGATGACTGGAAAAGCAGAAAAGAGAATATTTACTTTTTTAAAAAAGGGAGGTGGGGAAAAAAAGAAGAGTCAGATAATTAGTTTCAGTTCCTGGAAAAATACTGGAAGAGTACATCCAGAGCTTGCAGACACTGGGTTTGAAAGAACAAAGGAGATGAATACTGGCCAACAAATATTTTTTCAAGAATAAATCATGTAAAATCAAGCTAATTTCCTTCTTGGAGAAGGTTACAAGCCCTGGGGATAAGGGAAAAACAGCAGACGTCCTGAAGTTTATCCTTAGTCAGGCTTCTGACTTGCTTTATTTGACATTTTCATAAGCAAGTTAGGCAAGCGAGAGCTAATGAAACTGCTTTTGGGTGAGTGAATGCCTAGAGAGATTCTTTCAGAACAGAAGGCTGTGCTGGGTGAGGAGTGTTTTATTCTGTGTCCAGTTCTGCTTGGTATTTTCATTAGTGACCTCAGGAAATCGGAGACTTGAAGATGATATTAAGTGAAGAGATGTTTCAAGTATGGTGAAGGACAGGATTAAGATTCAGAAAGATCTGGACAAATGGGGGGAAAAAAGAATTTGAAATATGTAAGTTTGCTAAAAATAAATGCAGAATACTGTGCTTCGGAATAATTCCTTGAAAAAAATACTAGGCTCTGGAACAATTGGCTAGGTAGTCATTTTGCAGAAGAAGATCTGAGGGTTGTGGTGAATCACTAGCTGAATCAGCAGTCGTGCTGTTGCAAAATGGCAAGCTGGGAGTTATAAACAGGATTACAGCCTGTGAGCCTTGTAAAATACTCCTTTTGCTCTGCATTGATAATGCCTTTACCAGAATACAGCTCTGAAAAGTAGTAAATCAATTGGAAAGAATCTAGAGAAGAAGAATTAAAATTATCAAAAATCTAAAAATCAGGAATTATATTGAAAAAAGAGAGTTAGGTTTCTAGAAAAGACATTTAATGGGAGACATAGTAAAGCACTTCAAATATGTAAATAGGTGTTGCAAAGAGGAAAGTGAGTAATCTCTGCTTTATCTACTTGGTTAATGGGACAAGAATTGCTGGACCTAATTGCAATACAGAACTTATAGCTAGGTAGTGGAAAAGATTTCTAACTGTACTGAAAGTTAAGGGCTGTAATATATTACTGAAGAAAGTTGTTAAACCTATATGAAAGGTGGTATTTTAAGAATAAGTTGGAGAGATCTTTGTGGAGAAGAGGTATGAATTCCCTGACTGAGTGAAATCCCTTCTAGTCCTATTCCTTTACATTCTAATGTTCAGTTACAATCTTTTGTGAATTAAAAGATCTATTGTAAAACCCTGAAGTGTTTCAAAAGTAAGAAAACCAGTATGTTCCTTCTGACTACTGTTGAATGGTTAAGCATGAATTACTGTCTATATGCTATGCAGTAGCATCTATCACTCATGTTCACAGAACTGGATTTCTAGTTGCTGGGATTTTTAAAGAGATGATGAGCTACCAACTAATTTGCAATTGATCACAGAATTTCATAAAACATAAAATTAATTTCAATTTAGTATTTCTTAAATAATTGAAAAGATGCATTGCTTTTATAATGTGAGACAAATGAAAGTTTGTCTAAGAATCATCAGATTGCATGTTTTGGTGATGCTGTTCTATTATGTCACTATATTAAAAAAAGTAATGCAGAAAGTCTGCCCCTTCCTGAGTGACATAAAATCTAATTAAACCTTCATAGGAATAATTTTGAGCACAGATTAAGGTAAATCCAAAATCTATATGTTTTAATTTAAAAGTGCAATCTGAGGAACCATGGGGTTTTAAACTGTGTATTTGAGATCTAAATTCCATGTTGCTTTAGAGTATTTTGTAGCTAAGCTCATATTCACCAAGGTTTTGTTCTCTTTTAATTTCAGATAAATATGAGAGAGAAGCCAGTAAATATTGGAATGAATTTTACAAGACCCATAAAAATAACTTTTTCAAGGATCGTAATTGGCTATTTCTGGAATTTCCAGAAATTCTTCCGGAAGAAAAGAGACAAGAATTGAAAAGAGAAGAAAGATCTTCAGAACACAGAAAAATAAATAGTACCAATAGTTTTTCACACAAAAATGAAATGTTTGGTGAAGGAGAAAAATACTGGAAGAAAAATTATCGAGGTGGTTCTACTGCTGTACAAGGATGTGTGTATAATAAAAACCAAGCAGAAACACTTAGTGAAAGTCCTCAGGGTAAAAATTGTGGAGAAGAACTTGACAGGCTAGAATCTTTCCCTGGAAGTGATGCCACTTATAGAATATTAGAGGTAATGCACTGCAAAAGTTCTACTCATCATATAGACCTCCACTTAATTGCCCAAAAATCTGATAAACATGCTTAGTAAATATCAAAAAAGTGAGCATTTAGAATTTAACATACTATATTCGTTTATGGCAGAAACGTTCACAGAAACCTAGCATATGGACTTTGTTTTTCCTTTAAAGTTTCTCCCAAATCAGAATAGGGCTAGATAATCAGATTCCATTGTCATTGGAAGTTGGGTTTCTGATTTCCTAAGGAAACTTATATTTTTAAGTGCTTTGTCTAAAAGTGCAAGTAGTTGTCGTATTCTTGCCAAATGGTGAAATTGGACAAGAATATTGCATTTTCTTATGCAGTTTGAGAGATGGATTCTCTCAGCCTTAGAAAGGCATTGAGGAGAAACATGATCATATAAATTATTTGAGAATTGTGGTATGAGCTGTTTATACCTTTTCTGTCCAACATACCTTCAACTTTAATAGGTCCTACGTGCCAACTAATTTAAGACAAAAATAACAAAAAAGGTTTTATTTACTTATTTATTTTAACTTTGTTTCTCTTCTGGTTTAAGGTTGGTTGTGGAGCTGGAAACAGCGTCTTTCCTATTTTGGAAGTTCTATGGTATGTAGTGTTGGATTTTCAAATATGAGAGTTGTATTCTCATCTTCTTCATTTTCTCCAAATTTTGGTGCTAGACCAGTGCTGCAGAAAGTGTTGAGTGGATCATTTTACAGCCCTGAAATTCTTACTGTGTCCAGACCACAGATAATGTTGGTAGCACCATATACAGGATACTCCTCATATTGCTTAATCTTGGTCTTGGGGAGACCATATTTGCTGACAGAGTTTTGTCTTCAGGTTCATTCAGGCTCAATTCTTGTAGTTAATCTCAGGCAGGCAAAACATTCTCTTGTCTTACATGTCACTGTAAAGCTACCAGGTACGTCTTAAAAAGGCCAAAATCAGAGACAGTAGATAATGTCATGTGATTTACTGGAAGTTGCATTGTCTCTGAATTGGCTGGTGTACTTTGTCACATTGCCTCAGGTTTTAGTGTCAGGGAAGGCACAAGTCCTGTATTGCATTACTTAATTCATTGAAACATCTTAATCCACTTAGCTTCCAGTTTTAGAAAAAGCTGTTATGACAGCTTGTCCTCCCATCCATGTAGGCAGGAAGGTTTTATTGGAAAGACTATGTATGTATCAGGGGTTGAAATAGATTTCTTTTTAGTCATGCCTTCAAGAGCTTGAGTTCAGAACAGTTCATTGTTCTGTAACTGAATTTTTATTGCTAGTATCACCACTGTACAAAAATACTCCATTTTGCAGATATGGAAACACAGCAGGAGGAATCAAGTGATGCACCAGGGTCATCCGTGAAACCTGTGATAGCAATGCATCTTCATCCCACAGGAAATGCTTTACTTTAGACAGCATGTAATGAAAGGGGAGCCCTGTTTCATATGAAAACTTTGAAAAGTAGCACTGTATAGGAAAAGATATCCTGTAGTTGTATTAGAAAAGATGAGACAAACTTTTATGTTTTCCTCACAGGAGGCATTAGTCATAGATTGGCATTTCTGATAATTAAGAATCTACTCTTTGGATATTTTTCCTGGTGATCTCTATTCTTATGCAAATCCTTCAGTCGATCACATTGGTTGATACACTGAAAAACTACCTCATTTGTCTTGTATATGACTGAGTGGAAACATCTCTTACCTTTTAGTAGACCTGGCTTTATAGAACACTTGCTTTTACTCTGGATTTAATAATACAGAAATTGCCTTTTGTATGCATATAAAAAGAAGCCAGTGTCAAGCATGAGTGTACCCTGGCTACAAAAAAATTTTTCACTTAGGTTCGTAATGTAGCTTTTAAAACTGCTTCCCCCTGCCTCCCTTAAAATTTAAGTTGCTGCTTTTTAATACAATGCATCATGAGAACACCATCCAGATCAAGCTGTGTCTTTGTTTTAGCTTGACTTTCTACATAGCTCCTACTCTGCTCTAAAAAAAAAAAGAAATAACATTCTAACAAGTCAACTAGGAAATCAGCGTAACCTTTCCCAAGGGACTAGCTGGGTCCAAAGCCTGGCTGCTTCTCATTGTCTGTAATAAATGTCTAAATTCATCAATTCTCATGATGGGCACAGAGCTGATAAAAGTTTTGCTCGGCAGTGAGCACAGAGTATATTTTGTTCCAGAATTGTTCTCCTATTGAGCCCTCAGAGAAGTCACTAACTCAGCTGTATATACTGTGAGGTCTTATAGGCACTGACAGAGTTGATTGATTCCCTTCTAAAGAAACCATCTGTCCAAAATCTCAAATATGTTTTTAAAAGAAATTAATTGATCATGAGTTGATCATGAGGTCATCCCTCAGTGGGTTTTGAGTGGCTTGCTCAGTTTATATTAAATGAAGTTTTCAGAAGTGAAAAAAACCTCTTCCTAGAATTACTATTATCTGATGAATGGTACAAGGAAATTTACAACTGGCTTAGTCTTGGATGGGAAGGGAAGAGAAAACAGTGCTACAGGAAATTCTTATTCATCCTGGCTTACAAAACAAAAGGGATAATGGAGGGAAACAACCAATACTACTTAATCTAATCAAAAGCACAGCAAGGTGACACATGGAAACCCAAACATTTTCAGAACTGGATGATTTTTGCAACATCCTACTCCTACCCAAATCATACAGCTAATTAAACTGCATGATAGAGACGTAACGCAGTGCTTCTGTAAGAAAACGTGACCTATTAATGTGCATTTACGCATTACAACACCAGGACGTTGTCATCAGTCCTGACAGCCCTCTGTGACCTTCTTTCTTTTCCTTTTTGCTTCCTCCCTGACAAGGCTCTAATTCTTTTTATGCTAACTGCCTGTTGGTATTCTTACAAATTTGTCTGCCCTGTTGGTTCATTACAACCTATGTGGCTTTCCATGTGCTAGACATCAATAAGGCATGCTTGATCAAACCTGTGGAGAACCCCAAAGGGCCCTCTGTAGTTCCATGAACACTGATGTAGACTTTCATCTTTTACAATAATAATTTTTTAACTGATGTTGGTTTTGTTTTCCTAGCAATACACCTGGAACCTTTCTGTACTGTTGTGATTTTGCTTCAGGAGCAGTGGAGCTGGTAAAGGTAATTCATACGCTCGCTTCAGAGTACCTTATAAGCCTATAATTCAGGAGGCTGCCAGGAAGCCATCTTCATGAAAAAGAATGTGATGGCTTTGACAACTTTTAACTGAAGTTTTCAATATTCCAAAGAACAAAGTCTTACTGTATGCAGAGAGGAATGAATACCATCACTGAGCTTGCTTCTCAGCTTGAGTAAGATACCGGACAGAATAGGCTTTTATATGAGATGTTTTACAATGCAGAATAATTGAAGAAAAAAAGTTTCTTGAGTCACAGTAAACGTATTAACTACTACTGTTCTCTCTGTGCCCCTTTTCATCTTTTTTCTGACAGTCACATTCGTCCTACAATTCAGCCTGGTGTTCTGCCTTTGTTCATGATGTGTGTGATGACGCTTTACCCTATCCTTTTCCAGATGAGATCCTGGATGTCATTCTCCTTGTCTTTGTGCTCTCTACTATTCATCCTGACAGGTAAATGAAGACTAAAGGGCAAAGCAAATGGGTTAAATCTCTCTTTTCACTGGGGGTTTTCAAGAATTGCAAAAGAAGATGATGAATCTTTAATTTATTACTTAGTAAGCTACAATATGTATAAAACAAGGTATTTTAAATGCTGTTTTCCATTTTCAGGCTTCAAGAGAAAAGCTTGTCAGGCTAATTCATTAGTGAGTCTCCAGTCTCCATCAAAATACAAGGAGTATATTGTAACTAAACACAACTCTATTAGAAGTGAGGGATTCAAAAAAACCTGCAAATTAAAAACCAGACTAGTCTTCTAGAAGGAAGTTATTTTTAGTGATCAAAACTAAACATTCATGACTTAACAGCTTACAATATGTTGATATAGACTTAGGTTGCTAATTTAGCCACATACAAATGCTTACATGCAGGCCTTTTAAACCCAAATGCATCCAGAATTTTTTAACTTGTTTGGATTAAGAAAATTTGATCTAATTTTCATATATAGTGTTATGATGGGTACTGTTAGCCTTTGCTAATACCTCTCTATGTCCAATGAACCAAATGTTATGACTGCTACGGCTGGCTGATTGTGAAAATCCCATTTTTTTGACGGGAAAAATGTATAGGAGGGCATAAGTTAAACCGCTTGACTCTTCCTTTAACTGGATTATATGAAGGGAAATACATGCTATATGTGTGATAATACATTTACTACGCTAAGAATGTCATTAAAATGGGCTTGGCAAACAGAACAGTATTTGCCTAAGTCTGAGAACTGTTTCTCTGCTTAAGTTACTAATGATTAGCTTTACAGAAACTCTTTCCCATATATGATACTGCTCCTTCCTGTTTGTTCAGAGATGAGCACAAGTTGTACAAAGCCAGGGTCCAGATTCCAGAAACAATTCAAGCAGTAGACTTCAGATCTCTGTGGCTGCCATGATGCTGCAGGAAGATACTGAAAAATAGTGTTTCATTCATTCAATCAATCACTTTGCCTATAGAAGCAGTATTCTGCGTATTTCTGTGTGTCTTTTCCTCTTAGTCTTTTAAGAATGTGTTTGAGGTTTTTTGTGGTTTGTTGGTTGTGTTTTTTCTCCCAGGGCTGACATGGATGCTTTTGTGTGCATATGCGTGTATACACACATAAAAATTTCCGTGTAATTATCTGTGTTGTGAGACCCACTTTCCAAAGCTGTGTTAGTCATTACTACCATCTTGTAGAATTAAAGTGACTGCATAAAGGAATATGTGATCCAGATTCATCTTGCTCAGTATACATTTTTTCTGGAAACTTTGAAAGTGAGAAATGAAAAAGAAAACCAAGGGAACTGTGATGCAGAACTTACATACTTGGGAAAGATAGAAAATATATGTGAGAGGGACACATTTATATTCAGAAAATTGTTACTTAGTGATTTCTCTTCAGGCTGTGGTGCTTAGTTTTTGATAATTGCTACTCTTGTAGTAAATTTTTAACACACTTCAGTTCTGCTAGAAGGCACTTCTGAGATTTGGTTGCAGATTTGGAAGGTATTAAACTTTCTTCAAGCTATGTAATTAATGTCTTCTAGTTCTGCTGAATGAGATTTCTCAAAGCACTTTCACTTTTTATGCATGTACATTTTTTTCTTTGTGCACAAAACTTAAGTTTATATAGGCAAAGTCTGTAATTCTGGGCACAACTACTCGTCTTGAAGTGTCTCTTATTCTTAGGTGGTGCTGCCTTTTCTGTCTGTGGCAGCACACTTGGTTGCTTATGTTTGCAAATATCACCAGTATCCCATCTATTTTCTAAGGATGCAAGGGGTTGTAAATAGGTTGGCTAAGCTACTGAAACCTGGAGGAATGTTGTTATTTCGAGACTATGGAAGATATGATACAGCTCAACTTCGTTTTAAAAAAGGTAATTCCTGAATGGCTTTGTAGTTCATTGTTCATTTTAACTTTTTGCAAAAAAAGAAAGTGACATGTCCTTTTGCATTACTGTCCCAATTTCCTAGGTCATTGCTTGTCAGAAAATTTTTATGTACGAGGAGATGGAACCAGAGTATATTTCTTTACCAAAGGTATGGAAAGTTATAGTTTTATAGAAAGGGTTAAATTTCTCTCAAGATTGAATTATAAAAGCTTATCTTTAAACAAAAATTTAAAGAAGGTTTTATTGGCTTTTTTATATTCTCTGCTTTTAAAAAGACCAAAGCTAAGAAAATAATTTCCTTTATGTGTACACTTGTTGCATTTGGGGTCTTGCAAGATGGCTTAAAGACATCACTGGAAATTTCTCTTTATCTAAGCGTCCTGTGTCTAATGGTATGCTCAAATTTTGTTATTTAAGTATGTACATGATTTCTCTCTTAAAATTGAGGTAAACATGCTTGGAAGGAGAGTTTGTAGCAGTGCTCTGATGTTTTGTTATGCCGTGTTGGTGAATCCGAACTGTGAGGCTGCTCTTTATACAGGAGCTAAACTTCAGTTCCTGCTTATGTATACTATTCCTCATTGCCTGTCCACTCACTTGGTTCAGCTGGCAGACAGCTTAGACTGGTATATTGTGAAATTGTGAAAGTGAGCATCACAATACTTTTTTTTTCTTTTTACCCTCTGCAACCTCGACTGTAAGCAATAGAGATGGATCAGGATTTATCCCAGCCTTAGTAATTTTAGAAGTGAGAAGGATCTGAGACATATATAGGAAATCACTTGAATTTAAAGAGCCTTCTCAGTTTTTAAGTACATTTCATGCTTCCTCAAGACAGAGAAGCTTAAGGTTTTCCATTGATGACTGACAAGAAGGAGCTCATTACATATATTTAATATAAATGTATATGTGTGTGTGTATGCACATATATATATACACATATATATATACATGTGTCTATATATATTTACACACACACACACATATATATACAAGGCATAAAAGTCTGGATTGTCATTTGGCAGGTGCAGTAGCTTTATCTGGGTGTAATAGGTGAACGGTGACCAAATGGCATGCATTTGTTTACTCAACTCTGGCATATTGAACCCTCTGAAGAAAGGGTATCTAAGGGTGCCATGAGTAATAACCAATGTGATTTGGGCCTCAACATAAGAATTTTTACTGCAATATAAATCAAGAGCTGTGAGAATGAATTTCTAATAAAAGACTTCTTAGAGGCAGTGTCCTTGATCTTTCATATTGCAAAACAGATTTAGTTCCATTTGGTTGAACTGAAGGTTGTTAATTGCTACATTCCACAAATGACCTTTTTTTTTTTTTCAATTACAATAATTCTTCTTATGAAAAAATAGATGAGGTATGGAACATGTTCAACTTGGCTGGATTGACTGAAGTACAGAATTTAGTTGATCGGCGATTACAGGTAAACAGGAAGAAAAAAGTGAAAATGCAGCGAGTTTGGATACAAAGCAAGTTCCAGAAACCGTTGCTGTCTCTCCATAATCCTGAAGAAACAACCAAAAGGCACCCTTATAAATAATTGTACTCCAGAAATGTAGTACAGCAATGAACTCCAGAAACGGAAGCAAATTGGGAGTACGTATATTTTCAGTAAATGTTGTGTTAGTCACTGAAAAGGATAAATATATTGAACTGAAAATTAAAACCTTTTCCCTAACTTTCTTTTCTTTGTAAATAAATACGTGTGAGAAAGATCTGGGGTGGTGGTGGGGAAGGGCATTTCTCACTTCTGCTTTATATACAATAAAGGGATATGCATTAATCTTTTCATAATTGTGACCAGGCACTATTCTACTTCCTGGAATAGGAATAGTCAATAAGTATATATCTCATTCCTGTTGAAATTCACAATATGTAAAAAGTTTTAGACCGAAGCATGATTTTTTTCAGAGATTTAGAGAAACAGAATATCTCTTCTCACTGTTACTACAAGCTGCACTGTGTTAATTTCTGAGTCATGTCTTTTTTAACCATTGTGCGTCTTGCAACTGTGTTTCCTCTTTCGGGGGAAATTTTTTGGTGCACAGATAATGAAGACAGAATCTCTTTCTGATTTGCATGTAAGTAATTATTCCACACTAACTGCATGTGACACACACCCGTATCATACTAGTCAGTGATTGGTGTCCTCCACTATGACTGACCTGCGCCATTGAAATGTCCACTTTTCATCTACATGCTCATGAGGAGCATGCCAAATTCAACTTTCTGTAACACCTTAGTGACACTTATATTCAAAGTGCGTAGGTTGTAAACTGAACATGTTTCATGTAGAAAAGAACTACCAGAATGCCAAAATAGTGCTGAAAAGAATCGTTAATATTTTTCTGGATAAATACAAACATTATTTTTATGATATGTTAGATATGCCTGAGTGAGGAGCAAAAACAGTAGTCCAGAGTACATTTTATTGTTATTGTTATGGGGTAATGTAATCACACTAAAATGGTAATCTACCTGGCAGTTGAGATATTTTTGTTGTTTACAGATAGAAGTTTCTTAGGGATTGAATATGAGAAAGAAAACACAATGTTTTGTATTGACCAAGTGGAGATACAGTAAAGGACAGGACTACGGTAGTACTTCAAATGCTTTTAAGAAGAAAACCAAAGTGCAAACACTGTTTTCAAATGCAGAACATGATACTGAGGCTGTTGAGCTAGTAGTTAAAGATGCTGCTTCTGCTACTTAAATGTAATTTTAAATCACTTAGCCACAAGAAGAGGACAAGAAACAGGTGAATGAATAAAATAAATCTCTTATTTCAAAAAGGGTATGGAGTGCATGTAACCTATAACATGCAGCTTTGAATGCCATTAATACAGTGACACTCTCAAAGTTTCTTCTTGCTTTTGTTTTAGTCTGAAGGGTAAACATGTCAGAGCTGACAACTGTTAGGTTTTTTTTATGCAAGTTGTTAGCTGCTAAGCTAAGTAGAACTGATTGTCTTGTAGAAAAAAAACCAATTATCTAAACGTGGATATCAAGTAGCTTCATCGTCTTTAATAAGATGAGAGACCTGCCTAATTTCCATAAACCCAGATCTGTTTCAATAATAAGGTACAATAAAGGGAGTTGGAAGGTAGGATCTGATCCTGCATCTTTGGTATATTCTATACTGCCATAAGACACTGTTTTATGAATTAAGAGACTCAGGAAGCTTTGGTTAGCAATGGCATTGTTGTAACCAGCAATAAAACTTTGTGGTGTAAATCAAAGGTTAAAACACAGCTTAAGCCCTAAGTCTTAAAAGACTGTATTAGTCTTCATGGGAAATACAAATAAATATCTGCTTATATTTTAATTATGTTGCTACCCTGTTTAATAATTGTGACTTCTAAATATACAGAGCTGTTAGTATAATACAAATAATTTTCACTTGTAGAATTTTCTGGGGTGGCTGATGATGATAAGCTCCTGAGCATCATGCAGTCTTACTCATGTATATGACGTAGATTTTCCATGTGTAAAGGCTAATATAATGTTTGCTTTGGCACTCACAAGGATATGTTGATTCTGGCAAGGCTTTAATATGCTATGTTGTTAGTTTAACAAAAATATGACATCAGAAGAAACCAAAACCTGAATTTTGAATGGCCTTAAGCGAAATTGTTTCTCTTCTACAATTTGCAAAATAAGTATTGGCTGTCTCTTTGAGAATAATGGTGCCTGCCTTAGAAGTAATAAGATCAGCTACTATTTATAAATGTAGAATATCCGCTGTCTGAACAGTTGTAAGATTCATAAAAGGGGAGTGGAAATGGAAAAAGACATCATTCCCAATAAGAACTTCTGAATCTGAGTAAGACTTTCAGTATTTTGGTTTCATGACATTTCGGATTTCAAAAAGCTTAATCAAGGATGTATTTTTAAAATACTTTCAAATTATCTGTATTAGTTGGGAAAACTACTATTACAATATTGTCTAAAGAAAGAAAAGAGATGCAGAAAACTATATAGGAAGTGCAGTTTAAAATGTCTTATTGTTAATTAATTTCTGGAGGAAAAAAGAAATTAGTTTATTGCAAGCAAAATGTGCCCAGTCTAGGAAAAGGCTTTAAGTTTCACTTTTGACATCCAAAGTTATTTCTTTACTCAGATATGTACCTAAAATTAACTTATAGAAGTACACATTCTATAAAAACATTTTAATTTATAATTGCAAATTTTCTTTAATTTTTTTTTTGTTCAGCATGACTTCCTAATGGCAATTAGAGAAAGGTAATCTTTTTAGAATTGACCTTTGGCTTCATTGGCTTCGGCTTGCTTTCTCAATAGCGTGTACTTTTTGCCCATCTCCACTGGTATTGTATTACATTTATGTACATGGCCACTTGAGAAGGGTACTTATTGGTCTAGACCTTTCTTAGTTTTGGAGCAAGTGTAAGACAGCTATAAAGAAAGCTCCCAACCTTTTTGCACACTAGTTTTGAAGTATCCAGTCAATAACAATTAGCTCATATAAAAGAAGGTTGGGTTTTTTTCCCAGCAAAACCAAGGCAAGTGCTTGTGCCATATCTACAAATCCACAGACTCTGAAGGACAACCAAAATGCGGGTCTGATGAGGAGACAGCAGAAACTCTAGCAACACTAGGGAAAAGTTTGTTGTCTTGGAAACTGCTCAGCTAATCTCCTGATTCTGCTGTTTAATAATGACTAAAAATTTATAACTAACAACCTCAAAATTTGTATTAAACACCAGTGGAAATCACTTAACATAAATTTTGCTACTTCATTTTCATTTGTAGTGTGAACTTTATTCACTGTTCCAGTGTACTCTTTGATCTGTTGACATATGGCTTATTTCCTTTTTCCTGTGCATAGTGGACATCTAAGCAGTTTTCACAGGAGCTATATACACAAACATTTGCAGTAAAGTTTGCTGGCTGAGTTATTGCTAGGATTGAAGCAAGAGAGTTTTATTTCCTTCTGCTTTTTGTTTTTGTGTGAATGCAATGAATTATAAAGATGCCAAATTATATACAGTAGTGTTGGGTTCATTTTTTTAGTTATTTTAGGTCAAATATCATAGGATCATAGAACAGTTTGGGTTGTAAGGAACCTTGAAAATCCTGTAGTTCCAACCATCCTGCTGCAGGCACGGACACCTTCCACTAAACCAGGTTGCTCAAAGCCCCATGAAACCCAGCCTTGAACATGCATATGCTGTCTGTGATAACAGACAGTTCATATATAAACTGTTTCTTCTCCATAGAGTGTCTTCATAATGGGTGGTTGAACAACTTTGGAAATAAACCCTTTATACATATTATAAAAATATTAAACATTGCTATTGTTAAGAATACAGGTCACTTTGCCTTTCAGTATGTGTAGACTTCTTTCCATGTTTGGAGCAAGGATTGGACTTTGGGGTGACCATCCTTCACCTTTTGCTACTACCAAGCAACTAAAAAAGGAGAATTGTCTGATTTGAAAGCAAGAGCCATACATGCAGGAAGGGAGAAAAATGAAGATGCAGCTCAAAGGCAGACAAGAGAAGGAGTAAGTGTTTCCTCTGGGAACTAGGATAAGAGGAAGCTTGGATAGACTCACCAGAAAGAACAAGATGCAGAATGGAACAGGGAACTGAGGAACAGAAATCCATGGGCATCATATATGGAGAAGATGTGTAACAGGAGGCAGTGTGGAAGGGTAAGGACATTGGGCCTAGAAATGAGTGGGATGAAATGGTGGAGGCAAGAAGAAAAAGGGCCTATCTGTCACAGAAATAGGGTGAAATCTGGGTAAACAAAGAAACTGGGTGTAAGGATTGGAGGTAGAAAGATGTATCTTCAAAGTTTTTATTCTTCCAAGTGGTACTGTATTTTCACATCTTGGTGGAATATTACAGGTTTTCTCTTTCATCCATATGTGCACAATCTACTTCAATTCATTAAAATGATGGAATGTTTCATTTGTAGTAGTTTGTGCTATGCACGTGTTTGCAACAGTGCAGGCAAGTATATGATACACCTGCTTTTGCTTTTTCCTTAGGGAAAAATCTTTTTACCTTCTTTCAAGTAGAACCCCATAGTGACAGAAGCTACATTCCTAACCTCCTGGGAAGCAAATACAAAAGAATAACAGAAGTGTCTCCATCCTGATTGTTTTCAATCAAGGTAGAACAATTAAATTTACTCCATATGTTCTGATGTTGTCCCATTTAAATCAAGATCATATCTGCAGATTATCACATTGAAGTGCCTCCCCATATCAGTTTCTGTTATACTTGCATCTGTTAAACAGAACTTAAAACAAATTTGTATAAACTAGAAATAAAACTTAAAGGAAAATAGCAGGATAGGCTTTATCTAGGATTACAACAATTCAGAGATGGAATACGTTTTATTATTTTAAAATACAGTTGCAGAAGAGCACTTACCCAAGGGGCAGAAAATTTAGCTTATTTGAGGTATAATGTAGGTCAAGAATACTAAAGCTAATAGCCATGTTCTAAAGCTTTGTATATGTAATGTTAGCCAAAGAGATCTTGTCAATTATGAAAAGAATTTAGCAATGAGATAGTCTCATTTTCAGATGATGTTTTATTGATCGGGTTACTACAATTTTGAAGGGAACATGAAAGATTAAGAAAGCAAGTAAATTAGCTTAATAATGGCTAAAACCCATAGATGACATATACAATTTAATAAATAATTAAATTAAGAATAATCTAGGCATTCCTAGACTATTATTTCCTAGTGTATTGATACTAAATGAAATTTTAAGTTCATTAAAAAACCAGACTTAGTGTATGCTGCCAGTTATAAAAACAACCAAAATGTTAAAATTTGTAAGTATGATGTAAAAATAGAAAGCTCTATAGCTACTGCATAAATCCAGTGTATAGTCTTCTCTGTAGTGTGTCCCGTTCCTCTAGGAAAAAAAAGTGCAGTAAAAATAGATAGTGGAATTTTTCCATGTGTCTAGGAATTTTCATATGAAGACAGGTTAGGGAAATGAATGATAGACAATGTGTGAATGGCATATAATGTTACATTTTAGTATTTAGAAGGTCTAGTTTATACCTTTACATTGTACAAAAAGCAAGGTAAATTAGTCAAGTTGGCAGGCAACAAACCTACATTGATAAATGTATGCAACGTGCCCTTAAAAACACAAGGAATCACAATGTTCATGAGGCTAAAAGATTGGTGAGTTACCAAAAATGAGTTGTATTAGATTTTTCCATTTTTATTTTTATATGTGTGAAAGGGAAAATTTGCATATTTACTGTTAAAGATTTTAAAATACCTCCAGTAAAAAAACCAAACAAAACAAACACATCAAAACCAAACAACAATCCTAAAACCTTTCTCGTTACTTTTCGTGAGGTCCTAACATTGCTCAGCAGTAGCGCTGGAGAACAAGCCTGAATACAGAATGGGTCTAATAGACACAGTTATCAAATTAAGAAAAGATAGAGGGGGAAAAAGGTAGGAAAAAAGAGAATGTACTAATTAGTATGACATGTAGTCCTGTAGCGATCATACAGCAGTTAGTATTTTATATAGAATGACGAATTCAGCTCAGTGCCTGAGAAAGGGAGACGTCAGTCCTACCACACTTCCCCATCACTTACAACTGTAACCTGGCACATGGACAAGCCAAAAGCCAAAGAATAAAAGTAATTGGTTTGCTGAAAGAGCACACAGTTGATTAATTATGCTTGGGTGAGACTGGCTGTTTTGGATGGTTTCATTGCAGAGACAACATTAATTTTTTCTTTCTTTAGCGTCAGGCACACTCTAGCCTCCATTTCCTCTGAGATAACAAGTGCTCTTTAAATGGAGAAGCTGCATCTTTGAACTTAAATAAAAGGATTGTTGTGTAGTGTAGGATTTAGCAGATGGGGTTAGAGAATCTGAACTTACCACTAGTCTTTTATTCTACACTAGGAAAAGCTTTGCCATTTGTAATGGCTCTGTTTGCTACATTCGCTATTAAGCGCGGTAGTCAGATGTTGTTCTGAGGAATTGGGCAGCTTAGCTTCCAATGACATTGATTACACTCAACAGTGAGAGTATGAGAACAAGTGGTGGGTGGAGAAGTGAAAAGGCAGTGTGAGGCATTTCAAGGAGGAGGTTTGCACTCCAGCATTTGCACGTGGGTGACAATCCCTCAGAGAAACAGTTTACTGTTTAACAGTTACTCTGAAGTGAAGCAGAGTTCAATCTTCTGTGCTCACTTCAGGTTTAATCTTCATCCCCGCAAACTACCAGTGCAGCCTGTAGTTAATTGTGCATTTACTTGAAAATAACAGTAGCAAGAAGCTGCATCTTTAGAATGGAGCTGTGATTTCAGAGGGAGAGACCCTGGCATAAATGGGTGTAATTCTCAATGACAATGCTAAGCCTGTTTACACATGGGCTGAGCTAAACCCAAAGATGGCACACAATGCTGTTCAAAATCAGTCATTTAATCCTTTTGAAATTTTTGTGATCTAACAACCAGAGATATTTGTGTTAAGAAAAGATGGTGTGACAAAGCTGTAGTTGTCACTGACCGTGACTTTCTTTAAGATACAAATTATGACAAACACACTCATGATCTTATTTTAGATAAACATTTCATGTTTTTATTCAAGAGTGAATATTAGTGAATTGAATGAACCCGCAGTGATAGTTACGAAACTCTGAAATAAGGTCTGGTTTTTAAATTGGAAACAGTCCAAGCAAGCTTATACAAAAAAAGAAGAACAAAATTATCCTAGCAGTAAGTCTACATTTTATTTTACTGAAGTTTATGAGGAATCACTATAACCAAAAACAACCTTGAGTTTAGTTTCTTTTTCTTTTGCATGTACGTATTTTAATACATATAAAAGCAGATGGAAAAGGAAACGCATGGTACACAGTCTACAAAGCATACAAGTATTATTATATCACTTAAGATATGTAACAAGCTTCTAAACCACACTCTTC